GACAGGGGTGGCCGAGATGGCTTCAGAGGTGGCCGCGGTCGCGGCGGATTCGACAACAGAAAGTCGTGGGCCGGAAACGATAACGCGGGGGGCAAACCGGACGGGTTCAGGAGGTCGTGGGGCAACGACGAGAACGACAGAGGTGGACGCGGCGGTTTCCGAGGCGGTAGGGGCGGTTTCGACAAAAGAAAATCGTTCGACAGCGGGCCAGCGCAAAATAAAAAGATAACGTTCGACGATTGATTATAAAACAGTTTTGTACAAAGGTGAGAGGGGTGGTTCGGTGTAGCGGGAACCGTCTGGTTACAAAGGTTCGACCGGTAAGTGAAGGTATAATTTTTGTCCAACAGAGAGGTGCACGTGGCTCTTGGGGAGAGAAAGCGAATCAAGACCTGAAGTTCACAAGGGGGAAGTCATTTCGTCACGAAAAGACGAAGAAAAAACGCGGTAGCTATCGCGGCGGTCAAATAGATACTAGCGTCAATTCCATTAAGTTTGAGGATTGAGTAAGCGATTGTAAAATGCGTCTGTAAATGTGTTGACTATATGTAGCCGGTATGTTTAGATAAGCGGAGTATAATAAGTATCGGAAAGTCTCTCATGATTTCGTTGGCAAGACAAACCTGTGTTAGGGTCATTTTATGCTGCGACATTGATGAAATTCTCACTCGGCTGTCATAGAGCTACGCCCCGCGACGTCGAGGTACGTCGGTTTTCGTTCTTTTTTTGGTAATACGTTTGGTCGTTCACACATTTAGTATCTACAAGACTGCGATTTCCACTTGTCCGTCGAAAGTCTCGTGAAATCATCATTTATTTTAATACGAGAAGGTATATAACTAGTATAAGCTATTTCAAATATCGAGTAGCTTCTGTATTATAGGATATTGAATGTTGTTTATCGCAATATGTAACATACGACATGAATTGTACTGTTCCTAGAAAAGATAGGAAACTCTACGCAGCACGTCAGTAATCGTCTAAGCCCGACGATCGATGTAGATCATTCGGCTAATTATCATTCTTACGCTTTTATTCCATCGAGAGGGATTCTTTTCCACGAATATATTATCACTCAATAGTTTTCGTTCAGTTCTCTCTTTACGATTAGCCCTAGATTACCGATAATACACAAACGACCTATAAGTGATAACGGCGCGAATGCCATTGCATTTGTGTGACTAATATTTATATAGAGATCATAAGTGACGTGACATTACACGATTTTTATATGCGCCGCCATTCGACACGCAATCAATTCTCTCGAGTTGATCGCCTTTAATTATGTGCAAAAAAGAAAAACGAAAGAAAGAAAGAAAGAAAGAAAGAAAGCAAATGCAAAGACCGCGTGTCGCAATCGATTATTATATCTCGTTGTTAATGCATGAAAACACGCATACTTTGTACGATATTCTGAACACCGAGAAACGAATATAAGCAGAGAGTGTAATCTTAATAATTATACTATGTTTTTAACCCTGTATTATAATATTCTCTTCCGTTCTATTCGAGGAACACCGTGCACGGGCCTATTTCCGGAACAGAAAATTTCACTATCTAATTTAGATCGGTAAGAAACTCGCCGTATGAAACTCCGAATAAAATGCTCGTAAGACAGAGGGGAGTGGGAGAAGGGAGGCCGTTCTGGGTTACCTTCTTTCGTTTCCTCTTTAAGCTTTTCCTCCAATAAGAGGAGAAAAAAAAGGACGGTTCGGAGGTAGAACAGGGGCCGATATTCTGCGTCCCATCCCCTCTCACCGGCTGGCTCCGCCAGTGCACAGAGAGCGGTTACTTACGATTCTACAGTCAACCTCTGGACATCCACCTGTGAAGACGGAGAGGAGGTGTACGACCCCACGATATCCGGTGTAGTGACATGTACAGTGTTTAAAGGACTCGTGTGGCCCCGTTTCGATCCCGAACGTTTCCCGATCGATTAATGTAAGCCGTGCGCAGCCGATCGAATCATTCCCGAACGGACCGAGAAAAGGATCTCCACGCGCCCAGTGTCAGAGTTGACGATCTTCCTCACGGTGAGTGACGTGTTCCGGGTCCGCGTGGAACATTTTCGTCGCGAACCGCTTCGAGATTCGATAACTTCGTTCGCGGCCGTTCCGCGTTGGAACGTCACGTTCCTCGGACGTGCGCAATAAAGAGGCCGAGATAAATCAAGCGCGCCGAAAATTCGTCTCCGCTCCCCGGATCCTTAATTAGAGTCCGCCTCGCGGGAACGGCTGACTAATTATCGTTAAATTCGACCCGTCGACTGCGGACGCCCCACGTGCGCAGCTTGCGCGTGAATCTTCGGGAAACCGAGCTCGCCGGAAACATTCCGGACAGGTACGGAAAGCAACGGAGCATCTCGAAAATGATTACCGTAGAGTTTAGAGTGCTCCGAGATTCTTCTCCCGTTTATTGTCCGCGGTAAATGCCCGACGTTCGGATACACCGCGCCGCGAGCCTGTAATTTTCCAATTTTCTTTCAATTTTCTCCCAGCTCTTTCTCGAATTGATTTCAAACTGCGCACGCCTTCGCACGATAGGATAACGTTAGACGGATGTTCGTTCGGTACACTTCCGAGGTACGAAAATTCCCGCGGGATCGATTAGAAAAGAGAAATACCGAACGCGTGACGAGCCTCTCCGCTGACAGTTCGAATAATTTATTCGTGAAACGAGGCGCCGAAATGGTTGTACCGTTATCGGGGACAAGGATGGATAAACACGAGGCGGATCCGATAAAGAGCAGCCGAAGCGAGAGAAAAGGACGTTTTCGATGGTTCGTCTTTCCCGTTAGAATCAGCCGCGTGACGCGTTCATGGTCCACGGGGAATCTGCTTTCAGATACGACAGGAAGTACAGTTCTTCCTCGAATTCTTACGGTGTTCGCGTTCTTGCTCGAACACGGGAACGACTCGGTTGATCCGCCGTGACTCCTCGCGCGGATCCCGGCTTCGGGAACCGGACGACCCAGGCGTTTTTCACCCTCCCGGCCGTCCCCGTTAGGGGATCGTTATCGCGATCAACTATAGGCTGTTAATTATTCCCGCGTTAGCGTATTAACAGTACTCCGCCGGCGGCGGGAACCGAGGATAAAAAGCGGCGAGCGACGTGAGAAGTTGCGCCGACTGGGAAGAATTGTTCCCGGCGATCCTAAATTACCGTGAAGACCGCGCGGGTTCACCCGGATCCTCTCGGGTTCAGGTGATTCTCACGTGCGACTCGCGGATCTCCCGCGGTTCGTCCGCTGGGAGATCGCCGTTATATAATCGGCGGGTAACCCCTAGATATCCATCGAAACGGCTTTATTGCGCGATCGCTATCGGCCCGGCGGCAATTACGCGCCACTCTTCGCGTCCCGGCTCGCAGCGCGGCCGATCCGCCGTGACTCGCGTGCGAAAATCGCCGATCATATCCGACAATGGGAACGGTCTTAATTGCCGCGGCGAGGAATCAAGGTCTATTCCAGTTTCCATGATCCAGTAATCGCGAGTCGAATCGACCCGGTGCGCCGTCGACGCGATCGTTTCCCCGTTGAACGCGCCCGTTCAATTGGAACGTCGATCGTCGGAGCTCCGCGATCGCGTGTTCGCGCGGCGGCGTTCAGGAACCAGGCTCCGCGCGGCTCGGACGCGCTTCCTGAAGAAACAGATACGCGACGCCGGTCACGGCCAACGACCAGCCTTGAGTGGCCGGCCATTAACGATTTCCTTCCTTTCCTTTTCCCACACGGGATTTATCACTTCGTCGGGCTCGCGGCTATCGTTTCCGCCGCCGTCGTCGACGCGCTGACAGATTCGTCGGCGTTCCTCGCGCTGTCCGTCCCGAACGTCGACCTCTGTCGTCGGCTCGCGTTGCTTTCACTCCCGTTCGATCGGCGACAAACGCTCGCATAACGGAAGTCACACTGGACCGGCAACCTAGAAACCCCGAACTCCGTACAGGGATCGGATCGTTGATTAACCCTTTGACGATCTTTTGAAACGTACAGACTAAATGATAGGTTGCTCGAATGATTGGAAGCAAACGGAACCACGTACCGATCTCTTCGAGTACTCGAATCGTTCGTTCGTATGTCGAATCCGTCGATTCCCTCTCGCGAAATATCGTTCGCGCCGGAAAGGGTTAAACGCCGGGTGCTAGTCGCGATCGTTAATCGTCCGGGCGTCACTCTCTCGCGTCGTTGTCTCGTCACGGCGGATCGCCATCGTTGGAGAGGCTCGAAAGCGAAAAAAAATGCTTCACTCACTCGGCCGGTCGTTCGTTCGCCACCGTGGAATACCTTCGTGCCACCGGCCCGTGAAACGGAACATCCACGCGAGGATATCTCGATTAGAGCGGAGCTGCGCCGGCAGCTGATGAGAGATCGTAGTCGCTCGATCTCCGTCTCTCTCTCGCGCGCGCGTCTGCTCCCTCGCCGAAGAGATTTCGGAGCGAGAGGTGGCACTCGGGAAGACGAATCTTTTCGAGACCAGCCGCACGGTCCGACCCCGGTGTCGTTTACTCTTGCTCTTGACCTCGTGCGAACTCGGGTTCCAAGACCGAGCGGCACCTTCCAGCGTCACAATGACAACGCGCGCGCTCCTCCTCCGACGCGGATCCGCGTAATCACGAGTCCGTTGCCGGGACTGTTTTATTCATGAGCTCTCTTCTTGCCCGCCGACGTAATTAGTTTCTCATTAACAGGCATCCACTAACGCTGGCCCCCGATACGTGAAACAATCCGTTCGCTTCGGCGATGAAACGTTCGGCTCCTCGAGCATAGGTGTCGATACGAGGAAAATAGGATCGGCGAGAAACTTCGGAGAAACCGAGATTCTCTACAAGACAGCGACGCTGGCCTAGGGCCTGCTGGAACCTCGACGCGTCCCTGTACACGAAATCCCATTGTTATTATAATCGAACCAGTTCTCCGGCCGCAGCGTCGAAACAAATTGGCGACGTTCCGCTCGGAGCTCCGGATATCGTCCCCCATTCACGTGTGTCGACTGCTTGTAATTTCAGATGTCCAGGTACCTCGGTCTGATTCTCGTTGTCACGATCACCGGCCACGTGTGCGGGGCGAAGAAATGCGAGGGGAGCGGGCTGGGCCTGAAATACTTGTGGGGAGACGCGCTCACGGACCCCATGGACTGCGTCGGTCCGAATAACCAGCAGTATCCGTCGTAAGTGTTTCCCTTTTACGGGTCCGCCTCGTGTGGAATTTTAGAGAAAGAAAGGAACACAGACAGAGAGAGAGAGAGAGAGAGAGAAGGAGAGATACCGTTATCGAAACGAACGACTTGTCGTAGCGCCGCGATATCGAGGAGCGCGAAGAACCTGTGGGCGGCCGGTCGAACAGCCAGGTACCATCAGCCGAGGACGATCGATCCCGAATCGACGAGGCAGGCGTTACTGCACAGCTACAAGGTCGCACGCGGCGACTACTCGATCGCGATGGAGAACACTCGGAACGGTAAGCCTCTCCCGATCCCACGGTGAAAAAGGAAGCTCTCCTCTTTTCGTCCGGTTCTCTTCGGAGAAGATCGATCCCCCCGCTGCGAGCCGTGTACACGGTCGATCGGATTCGAAAGCCGGACGCCGACGGAAACGTGGACACGCGCGCGTTATTCCTATTTCGCCGGGGAACGTGTGTACTTTAACGGATCGCGCCCGATCGAGTCCGAGATCGCTTGGAAAGACGCGGAAGACGAGGCGCGCTCGTCCCTCTCCTCCTGTCCGCGGCGCGACAGCGGTCGAGCCGGTTGCCTGAATCGCGAATAATTACCACCTGCCATCCGCTGCTACGCTCCGCCCGAGCCGGCGACGAAATATAATCCCGCGGAAAGGCTTAACAGCCGATCGACCGCGATCGCGGCCAGCGCCGGATACATCTCTCTGTCGGGCGAGAGCGTTGATTTCTAATTATCGCGGTCGCGCTCGCGGTCCATTATCCGCTCGCGAGCGCACGCGAGTCCTCGCCTCTTTACGAGCCTATTGTACCGTATGCGGTAACATCCAAACAATCCGCGCTTCTTGCACCGGCGATACCTCGCGGTACCGTTGCAACCGGGTTGCGACCAGGAAACGGACTATCACGGACTATTTACGTCGATTTTTCGAATGAATACTCTCGAGCGTTCCGGTTTCTCAAGGTTCCCGAGGAAAGTCCGAGATTAGAAATTCCGTGTTGCATCCTTTATTACGTGGCTCGGTCTTGTTCCGTGAACGCCGCCGCCGCGCGCCTCGAAAGCGACGCGGCCGGCCGGTTCGGCTTCGTTTTCGAGCAGGATCGAGCGCGTGCTCGAAAATGTCGAAAAATCGGAGCAACCGGTTGCGCGATACGTGTCCCGGCACGTCGCACAGCCTTGAATTACGCGGCTGTCCTTATGACACGAAAACCCGGTTACAGCTAACCGCGGCACCCGCTCCGCGTGCCTCCGTTCGGTCGTTTCGAAATTCGCCAATTCCGTCGGAGAGGAACGTGCTACGCGTTCCTCGCCGTCCGGTTCGTCCGACGAGATTCAGCGGTCCCTTGGGTAGTGGTTCCTCGGCGCAGGAGGACGGTAATAAGGCACCGTGTTATCCGTCCAATACAGTTATCGCTGGTTCTGCTCATAACGGGACCCATCGGCGACCCACTCATCGTTTCGAACACACGAGCCGACTGAATTCCGAAGAAAGGGCGCAAACACCTCGGTCGAACGCCGCGTTCTCCTTCGGTTTTCCTGGCTTTCTGCTCGCGATTCGTCCGTTCGAATTCCGTTACATCCTACGCGCGACTTTTTCGGAACGATCGATTCAAAATTGTATCCTTGTCGAGCGTCGATCTAACTCTAACGCTAGAAATAACGAAAACGCGATCACAGCAGAAAGAAGGAACACGGTATAGAATCGGGACACGAGTTTTGCAAAATCGTATTAACCCTTTACCTTCGGCCCGAATTCCTCCGAGTTAACCCTTTGTGGACGGATGTCGGCATTTCGGTGGGATGAAATGTTCAGATCTGGAAGACTGAGTCTTCCAAATTGTCGTGAAATGGTGCACGAGCTTAGTGGCGAAAGTAAACAGTACGCCAAGGGGTTAACGCGGGACAATAAATATTCTTCCCGCAGGACGAGCGTTCACCCCTAAAGAATCATGCGGCTCCCCGGCCAGATTGTGCAAAACAAGGTACAACACCACGGCGCCGATGTACGGGGTCAGCTTGACCAGCGGCCAGCCGGTGACGATCGTTCAGAAGTTCCCCGACCTCCTGCAGCAGGTCGTGTTCGAGGTTTGCGAGTAAGTAGCCTGCGAGTCGAGCGCCGAATACCGAACGCGTGGATCCACGATCGTGTGCCAGTGAAATTCGTTCCAGAGAGATACGCGATCGTTCGCCACTGTTACTTTCTTGGCACGTCGCGTCGTGATCGGTAAATGCGAGCGGCCGAATCGAATTGAAATTCATCGGGGTCTATTGGCGAGTCGATTCGGATGTAGCACAGTGGCCCGAATGAGCCTACGATGCCCCGTTCGTGACCGGGAACCGAGGCCTACTTCGACATCTTTTCGGGCCCGATATTTCTGTCGCTCGGAAGCCAATGCGGTTAAACCGATTCTTTGGTATTCTGTGATTTCTTTCGGCTGTAACCTTTAACGGAGCAATGACATGAAAGCGTCACGACAGTTTTACATACTGGGTTCAGTGCCTTGTACGTGGCAGAAAATGTTATTGCAATATTTGCAATTAACGCGTTAAGCATCGTGCTATCTTACTTATGTGAATTTTATCTATGCTACGGTATTTCTTGGTAAATTTGAAATGCCTCTGTTAAAGGTTAACGTGACAAATAATATTGTTTAGTTATTAACACTGGAACTACCAAGCAGTCGTAGTTAGAGGTTAACGTAACAAACAATATTGTTTAGTTATCAACACTAGAACTATCAAGCAGTCAAGTTGACTTTGAAATTGCTCTATGAACCCTTACACTGCGTCTATCGAGACTTCAATCACTCAGAACTTAGTTTATTACTGAAACAATTTTTTTAAAAATCTCTTCGAAGATATATTTTTCCAATTGTAAAAGGAGAATTTAGGAATGGTCCATTCTGATCCATTTGGTAGTTCTAGCGTTGAATCTTTTCAAAAGCATTTCAAAAGCCAAAACACGGCGTTCCCCAATCGTTCCTCTCCGAACTCTCATTAGCCTCCAAGCGACTAATTCTCCGGTCCCATCCGAACAACGTCGAAACCATTAACCGTCTCTCGTCGGCATCGTGTTTCAGATCGAAAGAGTGCGACGTGGTCCACGGCGAGTGCACGCAGACCTACGTGCCCTACCTGTTCCTGGTGATACCGCTGGGCCCGGTGACCCTGACCGGTCAAGACTACGTCCTGGTCGAGAGCGGATGCGTCTGCAAACCGAGGAATTCGGCAAGCGGCTCGTCGGAGCCCCCGGCGGTCCCAAGCTTTTAAGCGTTCGTCGAACTCGAGCGGGCCCGGGGGGCCGGGGACAAAAAGGGTCCCCGGGGAGCGGGAGGGTCGCTCGAGCGCCGGGGATCGGCGAGTCGCGTCGGACGCGACGGAATCGGTGGCAGGTGACCCCCGGGCGCCTGACAACCTCGCCGGAGGGACCTAGTAACCTCTTTGACGGAGCCAGCTCGTAACGCCGGGAGAGAGACCAGTATTCAAGTTGCTAGAAGATGATTTCTCGGGAGAAATCGAGAAGATCGAAGACTCCCGTCGCCGCGGCGGAGCCTCCTCTCCTTTCCTCGACGGAAGGAGAGACGGGCCGCTTTTGCCACGGGACCGAGGTGACGGACGGTGACGCGATTGTCCCG